CCACAGCTGCATACACTTATCCTATCACATGTCACCACAGCTGCATACACTTATCTTAATCACATGTCACTACAGCTGCATACACTTATTTTCATCACATGTCACCACAGCTTCATACCCTTATTTCATCACAATGTCACCACAGCTTCATACCCTTATCTTCATCAAATGTCACAACAGCTTGCACACACTTATCCTCATCACATGTCACCACAGCTGCTTACTTATCTTAATCACATGTCACTACAGCGGCATACACTTATTTTCATCACATGTCACAACAGCTGCATACACTTATCTTCATCACATGTCACCACATCTACATACACTTATCTTCATCACATGTCACCACAGCTTCATACCCTTATCTTCATCAAATGTCACAACAGCTGCATACACTTATCTTTATTACATGTCACCACAGCTGCATACTAATCTTAATCACATGTCACTACAGCTGCATACTAATCTTAATCACATGTCACTACAGCTGCTTACTTATCTTAATCACATGTCACTACAGCTGCTTACTTATCTTAATCACATGTCACCACAGCTGCTTACTTATCTTAATCACATGTCACTACAGCGGCATACACTTATTTTCATCACATGTCACAACAGCTTCATACACTTATCTTCATAACATGTCACCACAGCTGCATACACTTATCTTCATCAAATGTCACCACAGCTGCATACACTTATCTTCATTACATATCACCACAGCTTCATACACTTATCTTCATCACATGTCACCACAGCTGCATACACTTATCTTAATCACATGTCACCACAGCTGCATACACTTATCTTCATCACATGTCACCATAGCTTCATACACTTATCTTTATCAAATGTCACCACAGCTGCATACACTTATCTTTATCAAATGTCAACACAGCTGCATACGCTTATCTTTATTACATGTCACCACAGCTGCATACACTTATCTTCATCACATGTCACCACAGCTGCATACACTTATCTTCATCACATGTCACCACAGCTACATACACTTATCTTCATCACATGTCACAACAGCTGCATACACTTATCTTCATCACATGTCACAACAGCTGCATACACTTATCTTTATCACATGTCACAACAGCTGCATACACTTATCTTCATCAAATGTCACAACAGCTGCATACACTTATCTTTATCACATGTCACAACAGCTGCATACACTTATCTTCTCACATGTCACAACAGCTGCATACACTTATCTTTCATCAAATGTCACCACAGCTGCATACACTTATCTTCATCAAATGTCACAACAGCTGCATACACTTATCTTCATCAAATGTCACCACAGCTGCATACACTTATCTTCATCACATGTCA